AAGCCCCGGAAGTGACAGTGGAAAAGCGACTGGCCGTGGCACGCACTAGCACGGCTCGGCACTGGCCCGGCAGTGGAAAACGCGGCTAGTGTTGTGCCTGAACGCGTTTATATTTTGGGCGAACGTGAACTGAACGTACTGTATTACTGCCTGATAGAACGATACTGTGAACGCATTCTGGTGTCTGTGAATGCACACTCTCTCAGTTTAACTTCGTTTAATAGGGTGCCAGATTTCTATAGAGCCTTCCAGGCGAAAAAACACACGTAAACAAAAAAAAAAAACACCCAGTCTGGCAACACAAGACACCAGTGTTTAGAACTTTGAACTAGTTCATGTAGAAAGTGAACTTTCCCAACACTGCCCACCATGCTTAAAACTGTAATGGGTTATTTTCAGCACATGCTTCATTCTTCTTCCTCCAGACATACCGCTGATCCACAGGGCCAAAACGTTCCAGTTTTTGTTTCATCGCTCCACAAAACAGAAACCCAAAACTGTTGTGGCTTATTTATATGATTTTGAGCACTCTTGTGCTTTTGGGTCAGTATTGGTGTACGTCTTGGAGTTCTGGCATGGAAACGGCAAGCTGAAACCTATGCCTGTTGCCACCAAGTCTTGTTGCAGGTCTTTTGCAGTCACTCGATGGTTTTTCTGAACCCGCCTTCTCAGAACCCGCTATTAACTGGTTGCCACCATTGATAGCTTCTCTTTTCTGTCCCGTCCAGGTAGTGTAACCAATGTTTCTTTAACATTCAACTTGCAAACTATGCTTCCAATGGTGTCTCTAGGAACATTTAGTGACTGCTCTATCTTTCTGTATCCTGTTCTCTGTTTGTGAAGGGCGATGATGTCTTCTCTTAACTTTTTGGGCCATTCTTTTGACTTAGCCGTATTTCTAACACGTGGTCAAACATGGTGGTACACTCAACAAACCTAGCCATTCCAGGTATGTCATGTGTTCTAGCTCAAGCACATCTGATGCAACTAATGAAGCCCTTGATTAGTTGCAAGGTGATTGAGACAACACCTATTTTGCAGATTTGTGCTGTTGTGGGGGAGCCTACTCTAGGGGTTGAGTCAATTGAAAGTTGCATTTTCAGTTGCATTTTGGGAAATTACTTGAAACATTTGTTGTGTTAAGCTATTTCAATTACTTTTGTTTGTTTGTGTTCATTGCAAACAGCTGACAGTCTGTTGTCAATAAGCCTGATTTGCAATGGGGGTTGAACAATTTCTACTACAAATGAGTGTGTGCAAGAAGCTCTTACACTTCAAAATGAAGAATTATTCCCTGTTTTTTTATTGACATGGGGTTTTCTTGACTACAGTCATTCTCAGATATTTGATTTGTAACACATCGAGACTGAATGAATAAGTTTGCATGTGAGCTACTGAAGTGTGTGTACTCTGAACACTGCACATATGGCCCCACCGCAGGCGTGTAATATATATCTCATGAGCATATCCGTGGAGGGAATGAGTCTAAGCCCTGTGGGTAATCGCACTTCAGCAAATAACTCTTCCTGGGAGGCTTGTTTGCTCCAAAAAAATGTATGTTCTCACAGTTATTTTGGATAATTTTCAGAACTTTTTTTTTGGAAGTGGTGATATTTGCACTGTATAGTACAAGTGTGACTGTGTATCCTGTTGGTGCTACCTTGACTTCCACTATAATTATAATGACGTTAGTTAATTTTTGTCTAAATGAATCTTGCTTACCAAATTGTAATGAAATGTACTGAAATTACACATATGCAGCCCGTTGCATCAGCAGGGAGGCATCCATAGCATTGAGCATGCCGTATCTAATTGATTTGTGATATGAATCTGTTTACTGCACAAAGTTCACAGGAAGATCGGGTGAGTAATTCTGTGTGGATTAAGGGAGCTTTGTTTGTGCTGATTACAGTGATGAAATAACATCGCTTGAACCTTAAAAAATATGGTGAAATACAAGATGTTTGAAAGTCTCTGTGTGTCACTGCGCTTGCATATTTTAAAGTTTTATTTCACTGGGGGAAATATATATATATATATATATATATATATATATTTGAGAGAGAGAGAGAGAGAGAGAGAGAGAGAGAGAGAGAGAGAGGGTCATTTTAAAGTTTGTGCATATTGAAATGTAATACTTCTACTAATACCACAGTCATGTTATTTGCTGATTTGTAGGAGAAATGAAACAATAAGCTTCATACAGGACAATTAATGAAGACACTTTGCAATTCGGGGGTTGTAAACAGATGTTAGCTGTGCAGGTGTAGCACAGTATTACATTAATACATATTATTATACATGCAACTTTTAAGTGATATGTATTCTACTCCAAGTTGTTGTTGAAATGTTTATATATATATATATTATTATTAATATTATTATATATATTTATTTCTAAAGAAACACAACAATGTATAATAGGCTCCATTACCTTGTATCTTACATTATGGCCCTGTAGAAGCAGTTATTGTGAGAAAATAGTCTAACGATTGCGTCATAACAAATCGACTCTCCGTCTCACAGTACGGAAATTACCTTATAGACAGGAGGAGAAGCTCGCCAGCAATCGGGGGGACATGGCTGCATAAAGTCTGATAAAGTCGAGGGATAAGCCCATAGAGAATCATGGACAGCTAATACTCACTCTCTCCGTCTCTGTGAGATTTGAAAGGGAATTATTCAGATTTTACTCGGTACAGCTACTAGAACACATACAGGTTGCTCACGTTACAGGCTCAGTTTGAGCTTGCACAGTACGCCTGGCGATCAGCTTTTAACAGGCTTCAATGTTCTCCATTAAAATCAATGGGGTCGCTCTGTCCATTTCTTTTACTCTCTATGTGCTCTACTCAGTCTGAGAGAGCGACCTATTTCTCAGTTTTCCTCCGGCCTGAAAACAGCCGGCCAATCAACGAACCCAGGGCGGGCTGAGAGCCGTGACGTAGACGCTAAGCGGCGAGTTAAAGATTGTATTTTAAGTTAGGGAAGTCGAAAACGACCCCGGATATGGAGATACAGAATGCAATTCGCTCTGTTGTGGAGAATTTTCCCGGCATTTGCAAACTGAAGCCCGAACAAGAAGGGTGTTTGTTAAACATTTTGAATGGAGGTGATGTTTAAGTTAAGTTATGTTTAAGGAGAAGAGAGCTGATTGCGTTATGTGCTTGGCTTACGGGTAAACAATGATTTTATACTTCAGACAAGCGCCCTCCACGAGAAAGAAAACACTTTTCAATTATGCCATTCCAGACTCTGTCTACGAAGCAAAGCACATGAGGATTAAAAGACACGGTCTCCTCGTAACTTCTGCATGCTGCAAACATCTGTCCTCTGGAGATGGAGAGAAGAGCGTGAATGTATTTCACACTCACTGGCACCATGAATCATTCTTACCCTGAGACTAGCATGTTAGTTGACATGTGAGGTATTAAATGCTCCTCTCATGTACCCCTGTAGTATGGACTCCACTCCACTATATCAGTCGTCTCTCCTCTGTACCGTAGTTCTCTTCAGGCTGAAACAGCGAGTGCATACTCTCTCCTGGAGTTCATCAAGGTCAGCACTCCTTTATTTCCAGCGCTGCAATATCTCCAGCTGGAGCACGTCCTAATGGGTTTTTGGGGGTTTTGCTCATTTTTAGCTGTACTACAGATAGAACTAACAGGAAAGGACGAGAGCTATCGACCACAACCTTGTTTGTGTTTTATTTATCTAGACGAATGAAAGTACTTTTAGGCTGGTAAAAAAAAAAAAAGAAAAAAAAAAGTGAGTGCTCTAGTCATGTCCCGAAAGTATTAGACGGAGAAGTCAATTTGTCTCTCGGTTTATTCAGTTCACTCTGCAGCCATTATCAGATTCAGGTGTGTCTGGATATGCAGCACTACCACGTCAGTTCTGCACTGGACACCACCATGATTGTTGACCTTTCGATTTTAATTGAGGATGTCTTTTAATCTCTAAATTAATGTATGAATTTTAATTGCATTTAAATGGATGGATGAATGGATGAATGGAATGGATGAATGAATGGATGGATGTATATTGAGTTCAGACAATGAGTTCCACTGTGACCTTTAAGCAGATTTGCATTTACCATGTAAGTTCAAAAGCCCTGCTTGAAGCTCAATAATCACTTCCTGTATCCCCTATGACCAAAAAAAAAAAAAAGCTTATTTCAAGGGGACCTTCCTCTGTGTTCATTCCAACATAACTGCTGTAAAATAATTGTGGCTTGTGAATACGTTTATCTGTGGAAGGTAATAGTGTTGTGTAACAGAAAGGTCTACTGATTGTTATTCGTGGATGACTGTACCCCATCCCACCGGTGCAGAAAATTGAAGCTCCTAAATAAATTTGCTCCTAAAGCAGGATTAGGCTCACCGTTTCTCCATTTTAATGAGGCTGAATCAATGGAGCATTTCGTCCATATAAATCCCCATTGGCTTGCTCGAAACCGTTTCTTCAAACTTAAAATCTCCAGGCCTATTAGTTTGCTGCCCGTGAGCTGCAATCAGTGCCGGGGAAGGGCTTTGATACGTCCCTGCCTTGCTGTGCAGCTACCTCTCAGCGCTCTTCTTTCTTTTTCTGTCTGATTTACAGCGCATTACGTACCTCCTCACCCGCCCCTTTTCGCTCAGCTCACATTACTGGACGCATCTCTATCTGGCCCCACTGCAACTGTATTTATGCAACACGTAACAGACTAATGCCGTTCATCTGTCCGCCTAGATGAAGATGTGCGAGAAGACTCAGTGGAGGTGTTAAACAATAGGAAAGCTCTCTGATTGGGTAATTGGTTTGCTCGTGTGTTGCAGTAAAGAGCCCCATGACGTGCTCTAAACGCTCACAAAACCATGATCAATGAAAATGGCATGCTGAGGGTGAAATTCTGGGGATGGAATGATGTTATTAGTCTTTTTTTGTTTTGAGATGTTCTAAAGAATTGCTAAAACAAGAAATAAATGGTTTTCTTTCCGTTTCTGTTCCCTCATTCACAGCTGAGAGAGACAATCACTACAACCTGACATCGTTGCTGGTTCAGCCCATCTCTGCCTCCTTAGCGAAAATGCTGCTCTCTGCCCCCACCATGGGTCAGGGAAGACCCTGTGTCCCTATGAGCATGCCCTCAGCCGCAGGTAAGACCTCGATGCCTGCTGCACTTACACTATACTGTTCTATACTATACTATACTATACTATACTATACTATACTATACTATACTATACTATACTATACTATACTATATAGACTTACAGCAGTGTTTTTAAATGTTGGTACATTATAGACCAGGGCTAATTGTTACAGTGAGTAGTTATTGTTGATCCATTTTTCTATTTTTTTATTTTTTATTGTTGATCCATTTCAAGATGAAACAGAGAGTATACAGTATATAATAAGTAAGCAGTAAGGTACGAGAGGCTGTGCTGTATCGTGAATAAGTAACGGCTGAGGGCGTTGTTAGGCACAACACGAAGCATAAGTAACCCCTTCAGCTGTTACTTATTCGCGATACAGCACTTGCCTCGAGTACCTCATTGCTCTTATAAAATGGTTGCCACACAATATTAAAGTAAAAAACAATGTATTAGTGCAACTTTCTTGAAGTAAAATCACTAAAAGCCTTCCTTCCGCTAGAAAAAATAGTCCCTGAGCGGGAACAGCAACAACGTTCCAATGTGTAAAATGCATGAAAGCTCAAATAAAAACAACATAGAACCACAGTGTTGCGCAGCGATCAATAGAACCGTTGGGTGAAGCGGTCATAGCCATGTTTTATTGTAAATAAAGCACAGCTCTTGACCAATCAGAATCAAGGATTCAAACTAACCGTTTTATAATGACAAATACCTCTCATCTATCCCTCAATTGTTAATCTTTCAATTGCTCAGGGATTGTTCCCAAATGTGTGGAAGTTGGCTGCAGTCTTTTCTGTGTTCAAAGGAGGTGATTGTTTGTCCATCTGCAACTATAGACCTATTAGTATCCTGCTGGTGGTTTCCAATGTGGTCGAAAAACTTGTCTCAGAACAAATGATAAATCATTTAAATACCAGTTCCTACTCTCTACATCCATATCAATTTGGCTTCAGTGTTAATCATTCAACAGAAACAGCCAATCGCTATTTCGTTGACAAAGTCAAGTCACAGTTGGATTGAGGAGAGGTTGTTGGTGCTGTTTTTCTAAGTTTAAAAAAAGAATTTGACACCATTAATCATGGAGTTCTTTTATCTAAGTTAAAAACTTTTAATTTTGATACAGGCACTATAATAAATGGGTTGAATCTTATTTAACACACCAGAATCGTTAGAGTTAGGAATCATCAATCAGGTGTAATTTCCTTATCTGTAGGTGTCCCACAGGGCTCTATTTTGGGTCCACTTTTATTTTATTTGTATGTAAATGAATTGCCAAATTTTTGTCCTAATGTCAAAACCCAAATGTATGCAGATGACGGTAATCTTTGTACATGCTAACAGTCGAAAAAGCCGCTGTGTAGAACCTGAAATAGTCGTAGCAGGGGAGAGACTACAAGTCATCTCAGATTTTAAATGTCTTTGAGTAAACATAGATACCAATCTTACTTTTAAATTACACACTGAGGTTTGTAATCACATTAATTACAACCTGGCAAATTGTAGATATGCCCGTAGCTCTGCATGTCAAAAAGGGCCGCTATGATGTTCATGCACTCCATGATTTTATCTCATATCACCTATAGCTTGTTTTCATATGACGTCACGCCACTGTGTTGCCATGGCGTGAAATACAAATGGAGAACAGGGAGTGATTTGCTGTATTTAGAAAGCACTATAACAAACTCAAAATGCCTGTGTTTTACTGTAAGTCATTTATAGCTACTTGAATCGATCAAACCACAAGGAGTTTTAATCATGTACCAAAAGTTGTTTTTCGTAAGGGGGGAAAATGCAAGAAATTGATCGAAAATATCTGGAAAAACGGCTTGCAAACCTATGTCTGCGGTCGGGAGGAGCCAAGTGGGAAAATGCGCGTGTGTGTGTGTGTGTAACCTTAGTGATCACTTCGTCAAAGTAGGTGAGTTAATACAAATTAATTGACTGTTTGTGTAACGTTTCCGAACTTTGTAAAGTCAAAGTATATCTGTAAGATGAGTTAGTTGCTGATATACAGCCTCATATTCAGTTCTGAATATTTCAGTTCAGTTGAAAAATCGCTCCTCTTCATAACGTAAGGATCACGTCCACCATATGTTTGATTTTTTGTCTATTTCTTCTCTTGTAATAGCGTGTAAAGTAGTACAGTACGGACTTTCCTCCATCTCGTCTATTGCGCTCTTCACTCCCTGCCCTCTATCCGAATTCCGCGCGTCATTATAATCACGTGACTAAAACCCAGCTATTGTTTGACAACCTGGTCACAAGCTAGCAACAATACTCTCAAACCACTACTATCCCTATATAAGAAAACTCTTGATAGGAAATCCATATATTAGCATCATTGTCCTGTTTAAAAATTATACAATCTTATTGAATTTCGAAAACTTGATTATATATGCAGATCTCTGTCTTGTGTACAAAATTCTGCATGGACTGGCTCCTCCTGTATTGTGCCAGTTTATGAGCACAGCACCAATTGCTCTCAGATCTGCGAGGAGTGCAGCAAGAGTCCCATTGAGGAAGTGTGCACTTGGTCAAACAGCTTTTTCAGTAAGGGCTGCTCGTGAATGAAACCTCATTCCAACTCGCATTAGGAATTTTAAAATGTACGCTTCTTTTAAACATAACTTAAAGAAATGGTTAATAGATAGTCAGGACTGTTTACATTACACTTGACATGAAATCATACATGCCCTGTCTTCCTTGTCCTGCCTTTTTGTTTGTTTGTTTGCTTGCTTGTTTGTGCCTTTTGTGCTATGCCAATGTGGTTGGCTGGCTCATTGTGTTCTCTTGTTTAGATTATTGTTGTTGGTTATTGTCTTTTTTTTTTTTCTTGGTGTGACATATCAACATCTGTCCAGGGACAGATGTAAAATAGCCTATTGGCTAATTCTGGCACACATACATTTAATTATGTATTATTAGTGTGCATTGTCCCTGTTAAATAAACCTGAAATAAATAAATAAACAAATCTCTCTAAAATGCAAAACAGCTAGTTAGTATACATTTAGAAATGTAATGATTCTGATGTATATGATCTATTAGCTGAGGTGTAAAAAAAGAAAGGAAATCTGTCATTTCTTTCTTTCCTTTGGTATTTTAAAGAATGCTTTAACTATTCAACTGTTGAATGACAATCATATGATTGCAGATTTTCATTATTTCAAGAAACCGATTATACTTCCATCCTGTTAGTGTCTCTCATGCTTTGTGATATTCTCTTTTTCTTGCTTATGTGTGTTAATCCTTATGTCTCGACTAAGCTCTGAAACAGAATCTTTTGTGCCTGAGATATTCATTATTCTTCTCAGTCTCATGGTTCTTCTGGGGATTTAGCCATCAAAAGGAGCTCTGAGCACATGACGTCAGTGTTCCACCTGCTGGTGGCAGATGGTATCACACTTCTTTGGCCCTATATTAGAAGGTTGTGTGCTCAGAAAGCCAAGGCTGGTTGATTTATGCTCTGTGGTGCAGGTGTAACTCCCGAGTGTGGTAAATTACACAGGCTTTACACATCATCTTAAAGTTGCCCTCGCTATGGACGCCCATATCCAAGGCCATTACACACATCAGTCAACGGGTGCCCATGGGACCTAATCGAAACCATGAGAGTATAAGGCTGGTCAGCCATCTTACAGCACGCTCATGTAGAGCTTTCAGGGAGGTCATATGTTACATTGAATGTGGTCACCGGAGCCACGGTGGATGTGCTGCAGGCTAAATAAAAATGACAGATGGAGGAGTTGACATGTATGAGAAGATTATTGAATTTAAGTGAACAGACCTCCAAGGAAAGGTCATTCAAGTGGGATGATGTTTTTTTTATCGACCAACAAAGAATGTACAAGTGTAGTTTTGCTCATTGACCTTCATCTGAGAGTAAAAGTCTTTCACATTTTCAAAATTAAAGTGAAGATGCCCAGTTTTTATGCAACTTTGTTATACAACTGTAAAAATTACTGGTATGTTTTCTGCATCCTTGAGATGCGTGATTATATCAACAGTCTCCTGTGCACATGTTGCTTTTGTTTGGAAATGCTTGTTTATACCGGAATGCATTTTAACACTCAATATTTAAAGTGTGTGAATGTCTTGAATTATGTAGCAACAGGTTTTAAATATTAAAACAACAGATATACTTTCCGAATTGCAGACAAAAACTGGTAGTCAAAAGTTAGTGGAATATGTTTATAGGATGAACTACACCTGTAATATATCTGTGAACTGACTAAAAATCACACTGAAATCAGTTTGTTAAACTAATTGAAACCAAATTTGTATGTTTTTTTTTGCAAGATTTTTTTTTTTTTTTTTTTTTTTATGGAACTACTTTTATTCAGTCATGATACATTCAATTGACCAAATGTGACAGTAAAGACATTTATAAAGATTTACACTCAACATTGATAATATTGGGTAATGCTTTTTGCGCACCAAATCTGCATATTAGAATGATTTCTGCTTCAATATCTGAAAGTGTGCTTACAGACAAGCATTACATATATGCTACATTTTAAATTAGACACAACATCAGTTTCTGTTTCAGTGATGAAATGATGAAGCACACTGTACAACATGCTACCATATGGAGGGAGATGTCTCTCTCTGCCTGCGCTGTCAGAAAAAAAAAAGAAAAAAAAAAGAAAAAGTTTTCTCACTGTTGGATTTCTGAGTTATGAGATACCAGTATGACAATTAGTGGCACTATGCCAGCGAATGCTTGTGATGTTTTCTGATGTGCGTGTATATTCAGACACTCGTGTGTGTGTAAGCTTCATCACATCGTAATATAGGTGTCAGAACTTGCCATTCTGTCCATATGGAACATGCACATGCGCGCACAATCGTTGTCACAGTCCGCCCCCACGTGTGAACGAAAAAACGCGCTGAGCTCTGAGTCGGCTCTCAGTCCCTCCCCTCGGCTGTGGATGTGTGTAAAGCCTCACATTTTAATAGGGGCTGTTAGTCTCTAATTCCTGCTATTGAGTCAAAATCGCTT